CCATACCATACCATACCATACCATACTATACCATACCATACCATACCATACCATACCATACCATACCATACCATACCATACCATACCATATCATACCATACTATACTATACTATAGTATACTATACTATACGTACTATACTATACTATACTATACTATACTATACTATACTATACTATACTATACTATACTATACTATACTATACTATACTATACTATACTATACTATACTATACTATACTATACTATACTATACTATACTATACTATACTGTACTATACTGTACTGTACTGTACTGTACTGTACTGTACTGTACTATACTGTACTATACTGTACTGTACTGTACTATACTATACTGTACTGTACTGTACTGTACTGTACTGTACTGTACTGTACTGTACCGTACCGTACCGTACCGTACCGTACCGTACCGTACCGTACCGTACCGTACCGTACCGTACCGTACCGTACCGTACCGTACCGTACCGTACCGTACTATACCATACCACACCATACCATACCATACCATACCATACCATACTATACTATACTATACTATACTATACTATACTATACTATACTATACTATACCATACTATACCATACTATACCATACTATACCATACCATACCATACCATACCATACCATACCATACCATACCATACCATACCATACCATACTATACTATACTATACTATACTATACTATACTATACTATACTATACTATACTATACTATACTATACTATACTATACTATACTATACTGAGTGTGGAGAGATTACAAAATGGTTGTTGGTGACAAAAGGTTTGGTGTCATCTGGGATCATTCTTCCTAGAAAACTTTTATTTTTGCCACCTCTATAGGATTGCATTTCGTGTGTTTTCTGACACAGATTTTTCGATATGCAGCGTTACATTATATTGTAGATAGACCGAATCTTCAGTTAACTATACTTGCATGGTATGTTTATCTATATACTGTAGGTATATTATTTTGCATTTTGTGAGCTTTGATTTAATGTAAAATTTAACTTGAAATGCTTCGTAAGATGTTTTGAAATGTTCATTCAAGTAAACCTACATTTTGCCGATAAACTGTTTTTACTTAACAAAACATGATAAGTTTAATACAAATAAAATAAAATTGTTAGGTAATTTCAGTTCAGTTATCAAATCAATTTGTTCGCCTTTACATTTTAAGATTTTTTCTCAAATTAAACGGTAATTTATGAAACTTAGAGCTTCTATAGTTCATGTTTTTTATTTAATACGTAAAAAGTTAAAGCAACAAAATTCGTAAACATTTTAAAAATATTCAAAGCAAACTTGACGCATATTTCCAGATTTCCCGTAGTAAACCAATTCTTCTCATTTCTTCAAACAAAATTGATTCAAGCTTGTTGTATATGAAACGTTTTTGCAAATATATGTCTTTTAAAATTGAAATCTTGCTTGCCATATTTTTGAGATAAGTGAGGATGACCACCCACTCAAGATCGTCGTTCGTTGGTCAGCGCCCGCGATGATTGATGAACTTTAGACTTCGCTAATGCTTTCGTTTCCCCGGGTGTAAATAGCCGGGGGGGAATTAGTACCATCGCACGGCGGTTCGCGCCGCCGGCTCGGGGATTAATTATGGACTGATGAGTTGGGGTAACACCTATGCAACAAAGCTTAATAAAGTACGAAGAAAGTGCAACATTGTACATGAATTTACTTTCCATACTAAAGCTAGACAATGTTTTTAAATTGAAAATAGCCACATTTACATACAAAATTATAAATTAAGATAAAAATATCCCTAGGATATTTACAAATATCATTTCTACTGCATCTACTCAGCACTCTTATTCTACTAGATTTGCTGAAAAACAAAATTTTATTAGGTCGAATGTTCGAACAAATTATGGAATCTTTGCTTTTAGATTTATTTAATCACTATATAAAAGAGTCAAATTCAGTTTCGGTTTTTAAGAATAGGTACAGTATAGTCAATTCCTTATTTATTCGCAAATATAAATACCTACACAGTTCTCTTATGTCGCCATCATATACTTTTATATAGTAACATGATACATATAAACAGTGATCAACTCGAAAGCATTCCGCTATTTTGATCACTGTACACGTTTGTTTAATATAGTAGTTTTAATATGTGGGCTTCGGTTTTTGTAACTATATAATTTTTCTGAATGTTATTCTTACTTAGTTTAAATACGTGTGAAAATAATTGTGATTCTGATTCTGATTAACAGAAATGTTCCATTTTATGTATGTATATGCTTATGCAAGTTAGAGTTTGAAAGCAAGTTGGGGTTGGTAACCTCTGACTGTGTTGCAATTAGTTGATCATTGCAATGAATACATAATTAAGTCACCTGGCTTCCGGGAGCTTTTTGAGACATCTCTAGGATTTTCAAAATGTTTCCGGGGAAGCATGTCCCCGGTCGCACAAGTGTTAGCATCGTGATACGGCCTGTAGTGAGGCATTTTCCACGTATCTCAAAGAATGAAATCTAGGAAACAGTTATATATTTTTTTGTATCCATTGTTTTAAGACTAACTTTGTATTTCCTCGTATTTCTAACCTTTATTTGCACGAACTAATTACAGAAATCGATAAGTGCAAATATAAAAATTTAGGTGCAACGATTAGAAAGAAGAGTTATTAGGATAAAATATGTGAAATTATTAGGAATAATTTTAATTATTGTTTTTTCAAAGTCTACTCTCGTTCGTGTTTGTTCAAAACGCGTCGGATAATCCTCGGTATCTTAAAGCCGTCGCGTTACGTTATTTCACTTGCTGACGCCATCATCGCGCAATATAATACTTTTTTGGACCGAAGTTCGGTCCAAAAAAAGTATTATATTGCACAACACAAACCTCGGCCTTGGTAATTCTCTATATCATACTCAACCTCATTCAATAATTGTTAGTGTTATGATAGGAGATGTGTTCCTTCTATTTACCTTTTATTTATCTATTAATAAACCCATGATAATGTCAGGCAATTTCCATCAACGTGGTTTGTCCGCCCACTTCTACTTTTTTTCCCGTATGTAGCTATGGTATGCCCATGCCGTCAAATGCTTTGGCAATCCTTTTAGATCACTAATCCTTCTGAAGGCCTAAAGTCTATTGATGTATCAAAAAATTGCCGATTTGATTTATTTACACGTTTTATTGATGGACGAAAAAAATCACTTTTGTTTTATTTGAAAGGACTTTTAAAGACCGTTTACATGTTGCCATATTGTTTTTAGTGTCCCAAATATTTCGACAAAAATGGTACGCGGGCCGCCATCGTGGTTCTTGGGTGAATATGTATGACGTCACGACTGGAGTAAAGATAATTTTTACGGCTCTGCCAACCAAGTTCATTGCAATACAGGAAATCGACCTTTCATTTCTGATGGGTTCGCAATATTTTAAAAAACCTTTCATTGAAATGCAATCAGCCACAATTAAGTTAACAGATTACCCTGTTGTGATGTCACCAACACAATAATATTAATAGAATATAAATTCTCCATAATGTAGGGTGGTATTGTTGGATGAAAAATAGTGCTTAAAAACCTACCACTAGACGCCAGAAATGTTTGCTCTCAGCGATATTTCAAGATTTGAAAGTGAAAAGGGGACCTGCCAGATTCTTAAACCAGTATGGGACGTCATTATCTTGTGGTATTCTTGGCAGTATTGTCCATTGTATTCGCAGGTATGCAAGTTACCTCTGGCAGTTTTGAATGTTTAGCTGCTGTTGATTGCCCAGGTATATCAAGATCAAATATGAGCAGCTCCTTGTTGTCACATATTAAATATCATAATGCTTGTAAAGCATTTTACAGTTCTCAGAAAACAAACATTATAAAAAGAACCGACGTCGTGACCGACCTTAAAAGCAGTTTTCAGTATACCAATTTTGTCAATTCTCAATGCAGTAAAAGTACTATTCCAGACTTTCTTTCCTACTTTTGGTTTGTGTTATTTATTCAAGCATTTGTCCTCATCGTACTTGATAATCTGTGGCTTAAACTCCCTAATACTGCGTCAGTTATTGAAAATTTTGTAGCTCTTGTCATGGAATGTTATGCTTCACCATGCCCAAATTTGGCGTTAACGCAAGCTCTTTCAGACATTCCTGGACGACGTTATGCAGATGATCAGCAGCGAGATGGTAACAATTTCGAAATGACAAATCCAACCACTGACAATGACCAGTCTTGCGAATTCAATATATTGGAGGATCCTGCAACTATCAGTTCGGTTAAGGCTTTGTGTGAAAAAGTACATACACTCGAGGAAAATGTTAAATCGTCTCATAAACTTGTTAAAATTTGGCAGTTATATTTGCTACAATCTATCTTTCAAGTTTCATTTGCCATCATATTCTTCACTGTTGATATTTACTACATGAAGGATTTACAAGAAACAATGATCTGTACACTTACTCAACACATCCCTGTTTCTCATGATTATTTCATTTGTTCACATAGCCTTGCACCTGCATTTGCCTTGGGGTTGAAATGGTTATATCTTCCCACATTAGGGGTGGCCCTTGCCATTTTTATTTTTATCACTGCATGGACGTTCTCGAGAAAAGGAAAAAGCGAATTTAAATATAACTTTGAAGAGAGAAGATTGCCTCGCCTGGTAGGAATTGAGTTGTCCGATATTCCTCCAGTGAACGAAGACTTTGGTTTTCTTCTGCACCTGTTGCACTCCTATAACAAATTATATGTAGTCCGATTCGCCCACTTTTTGTCTAAAAGAAACAAAAAGAAAATTCAAACATTTTCCTTGAAGAAGGAGTACCCTGTTTCAAATTTGGAAAGACAATTGAAGGAGAATGGAAATAAACTAACCTTTATTGGAATTCAAGGAATACCAGAAACCATATTTAATCTTGCTACAGAAATTGTAACACTTGAATTTATAGAATGCAGGCTAGAAAATGATGACTTTGAAAACTTTTACCAGCTTACCAGCCTGAGAAAGTTATCGATTGTTAAATGTCGTCTTAAATCCATTCCAGATGGTATTTTAAACATTGAATGTTTGGAAGTACTTAATCTCAAAGGAAATGTTTTAACATCAGTTAATCGAAGCATCTCCAATTTACGGAATCTGACTACTTTGGATTTATCAAACAATAATTTAGAAGCCATAGAATCTGAATCATTTGAAAACCTTGGCAATCTTCTTGCAGTTTACCTATCTGGCAATTCAAAATTACAAATGGCAGCATTAAAGGTTGTACTAGCATGTCAAAGATTGCGCATTTTGGATTCCCCTCGACATCTTGCAGATAGAAAGCACGAGTTAAATCAGTTGGAGAGGAGCAAATTTGATGCTGTCAACTTTGCTGGGAAAGGAAATGTTGTTATTCCATACACACCTGAGGATGCTCCTCATATTGATTTAGAAGACCATGAGAAAATTTATAAAATGGACTCCCATCCTAAAGGTATAGCCATCATTATTAACAACTACTCATATCAAAAGGCTAGTCTCGAAAATCGAACAGGTAGTGAGAAAGATGTTTTTATGTTGAAGTTATTATTTGAAAAAATTGGCTTTGACACCGTGTGTTGTATAGACTATAAAGCTAAACAAGCCAAGGATTTCCTAGAAGAATGTGCTGAAAACACGAAGTACAAGGAATGTGATTGCATTGCTGTGGTTATAATGTGTCACGGTTTCGAAGAAGGTCTTATATTTTCTGATGGCGAAGTGATTCCTGTCATGGATCTTGTTAAATCTGTTGAGAAGTCTCCGTTGTATCAAGAAAAGCCCAAATTATTTTTTATCCAAGCTTGCAGAGGAAGTTATCATGCCGGCGGACCTGCTAATTTGGCTCCTCGTTCCTACGTACTTGTTCCAAATTCCCATGATAATGTTCCATCAGCATCAAACCGAAACACAATACATTCCACACTTCATGATGCTGTCGCTGATGGATTCCTTCCTTCTGCTGCTAAGAGCAAAAACACGACGATAGAGGCATCATCACCACACGTTATGATTGAACCTCCTTCCATACCAGAAGGAGCTGACATTTTGTTATCATATTCAACTATGGATGGTTATGTCTCGCTTCGTAACATTGAATTTGGTTCATGGTACGTGCAAGCTTTAGTCGAGACATTTTCCGAACATGCTTGGGAAGAAGACATTCTAAGTCTGCTTACACTGGTTAATTACAAAGTTGCTCGCGCTTGCAGCCAAGCCGGATGGAGACAGGTACCAGCTCCTCAAAGTACTTTAAGAAAAAAATTGTACTTACTTCCAGGGTATCCAAGTCAGCCTAAGCCAATCGAACCACAACAGCGGAATACATACGTATAAAATTAAATTTATTCTAGTAATCTTTCAAAACCAGAACTTGTAGGGATATTGAGGTTAATTAACGGCAAGAACAGAACTACATAAATTAACTTACTTGTAACTTGATAGGTTAGGGTCTGGCAGCAATAGGATTATTTTTATCCCTCGTGGTCAAAATGTACTAAAAGAGGAAAGCAGAGTACCCGGCCCGCCGCCCGCCAGCAAATATGCGACATGTGATGATGATGATAAACTTTATTTAACCACGCTAACATTGTCAGCAGAAGCTGGTTTCCACAATGGGCGTGCAAAAAACATTAACAAATTGTTACAAGTAAAATAATGAAGTATTAACATGCAGAATATAAAATTATTAAAATATATACAAAAAGTTTGCTATTTACAATGATGTGGTTTTCTTTATAAGCTCTAGGTAGCGATTTTTCTTTTAAACATTGAGAGCGAATTACTTTCTCTTATATTTTTTGGAAGAGAGTTCCATATGGAAGCTCCATCATACATGAAACTCTTTTTCATATTGTTTGTGTTTGGCTTGGGCAAACGTATGGTACTTGAGCTGTTACGAAGACTGCGATTTAATATTTCTTTTTTGAAAGTGAATAATTCTTTGAGACAATTTGGCCCCATGTTATTGAGCGTTTTACACATTATTTTTGCCTTTGCTTTCACTCTTTGTTCCTTGAGTGGTTCCCATCCTAATATATTTAGCACAGTTTGTTGATCTACCTCATTAGGCACACATGCTATTACACGAGCAGCTCTGTTATGAAGTTTTTGGAGACGCGTGGATTGCGTTTCACCAAATATATTCCAAACTTCACAACAGTAGCTAAAGTATATATGGTTGAATTATAGCATTGTATACGGAAACGAGTGTTTTTTATCAACATATTCTTTAATGCTTTTGAGAGCGTATATTCCAGATGATATCTTTTTACATATATTATCTGTATTGCTCTTCCAACACAAATTTTCATCAACAGTCACACCTAGTGTTTTACATTCATATGCGACTGCGAGGCACACGCTCTTTTGTCAGCGTGTCAAGTGTTGCGCATGAGTAATTGAAATATTTTGTGATATACGATCCGGAGGTTTATCAATATCGTGCGGCTTTCGTGTGGCCTTCGGTTTCTTTAGGATTGCCCAAAACCCGAGATTTCAGCGGTATTGCTCTCCGTTGTCGCGAAAATTTTGGAAAAAATTATCTCGCAGCAGCTTTCTAATTATTTGGAAACAAATGGAATAATAGTGAACCAGCAATTTGGTTTCAGAATGAAGCACTCCGCACAAACAGCGCTCCTAAATGTTAGAAGCAAATGGTATTTAAATATGGATAAAGGCGCCTATTTGAATGGGGTTATATTCCTAGACTTAAAGAAAGCATTTGACTGCGTAAATCATAGCATTTTGTTAAAAAAATTACAACTCTATGGTATAAATGGAGTGGCCTATAGCTGGTTTAAATCGTATTTAACAAATCGAACCCAAATGTGCAAGATCGGACAAACTAGGTCGCAACAACATACCATACGTTGTGGAGTACCCCAAGGATCTAATTTGGGCCCACTACTGTTTCTCCTATATATAAACGATCTACCAAACTGTTTATCGTATACATCTGCCAATATGTTCGCAGATAATACTAATATAACAACAAAAGGTTCCAACGTAGAGGACATTCAAACGCGTTTAAATGATGATCTAGAACAGATTCATCAATGGTTATTGGCAAATAAATTGACTTTAAATAAAGATAAAACAGAATACATGATAATTGGTTCGCGAAAAAGATTATAAAAGATTGAAAATGACCCTGTAATTGAATTAGGTGAAACAAAAATTAAGCGTGTTAAGTATTCGAAAACGTTAGGCATTATTATAGATGATCAACTTTTGAGGAAAAAACAAGTGGAAACCGCTGTATCCAAGGTGTCTAAAGGTATAGGTATGCTGAGACGAATAAAGAGTTGTGTCCCAAAAAGAACATTGATAAATGTTTACAACGCGATAATACTGCCATATTTTGATTACTGTAGCCTTGTTTGGACTAACTGCAGCGAATATCTGCGCGACAAAATGCAGAAAATGCAAAACAGGGCTGCAAGGGTCATCACTGGCAGACCATATGAAATAGCAACAAAAGAAATATTTGAGGAATTAAATTGGCAACCCTTAGCTGATCGATGGGAGAAAAATAAGTTAGTGTTTATGTATAAAGCGAAAAATAGTGAGCTGCCAGAAAGTATGAACCAACTGTTCGAAATCGCTAATAAATTAAACTACAATTTACGCAGCAACGATAATGATTTTCTTTTACAAAAGCCAAAAACAAATTACATGAAAAAAAGTATCAGTTATAATGGAGCAATAGCGTGGAACAATTTGTCAAATAATGCAAAAGCAACAAATATGACAATTGGCCAATTTAAGGCTGCTCTCGACCGCAAATAATACGTGATTTTCTTCTGTAAATATTTTTCTATATTTGATATTTCCTGCATGTTAACTAAGTTACTTTATATTATTCTGTAAATATCTTTCTATTTGACAACATTTCTTGCATGTTAAATCCTAATTACGTTGTTGTGATGTTAATAATGTATATTTTTAATTTAATATTTTGTAAATATTTTAAACGGCCCCTTGGAAATCAACTACCTAGGTATGTTGAAGGGTTACCGTTTTTAGTGCAGAGTTTCTTTGTGATGAGTGGGAAAATTCACATCAGTCAGTCAGTCAGTCATAGTGTTAACTTTCCGGGGGGTGTATTATGTGTATACGATTTATGTTTGTAGTGATTTACTGTGCTTTGAAAGTTATTTAAGCAATTTCAGTTGTTTTATTTAAATATTCTTTTGTTCTTTGACCAAGTTCACAAAATTTCGAGGAATCGTTGTCGTTATTGTAAATTTTTGTAAATTTTATAACATTTGCTTCTCATGTTGTGTGAAGGATCTTTCCCCCGGAAATCCCATTTTTTCTTTAGCAACGCAAATGCGCATGTGCTATCAAGCCGTAGATCACGATGGCGTGACGATGCTAGGAAGGAGCGCTGGAGCGAGACAGTGTTGTTTTCAAATTATAGCATTTTAGACGTGAATATTGAGTAAATCTTTGAGAATCTACGCAATATATAAATTGATCTTATACATTGGGCATTCAATTAAGGACCGATATTATTTTGATGGTATATATATTCTATATACAAAGCTATGAAGCAGCGAGACAAGTGTTGTTTCGAAATGTATGAATATTTCAGACGTGTATTAATATATTGAGAGTGTCTTCGAGATTCTACGCAGTATATAAATTGATGTTTTGCATTACGGGCATTCAATTAATTAAGTGCCGATATTGGTTTGACGGTATATTCATTGTACAGAGCTAGAAAGCAGCAAGACAGTATTGTTTTCAAATGTATAAACATTTCAGACATAAATATTGAGAGAGACAATCTTCAATGGTTTACGCGTCTAGCACAACGCCAACGATGCAAACTCGTGTTCAGTGCAACGAGAACTCTACCAGATCTTACGAGAGTCTATCTGTATCAAAGCTTGTCAAAACTGCTATAAACATTGCTATAACTGTGAAGCTATTGAAATTAAAGTGACATTAATATTGTACATGCGAAAAGCTGAAAAAGAGTAATAAACAAAACGTGACCTTCGAAATAACTCAAAGGTCAATGAGACTTGTTATTGTGAACATGTCACAATTAGGTTAAAATGCGGAAGCGGATGCGGAACGGAGCGGATGTACGGATCTAGGTTGTCGGCGACCCCGTATAGTTCTTGCAGTGCCTTTAATTTCAAACTTTACAACATTATAACAGAAATTATGCCTGGTCACTGTAATATTATATGGGGAAATAAATAATGTTACATAACTCTTGTCATTCTTTAATCGTGAAGTATTATATTTAAACCAGATCTTAGCCTTTTTACTGTGGTAACAGTTCCGCGCACTACTACGATATGTGATTAAGGCTATAAACCACGCGTGAAAAGCTATTCAGTTAATAAGCATGCCTTATAGCGTTTGTCTTTGAAACTCTGCACTATCCTTGGATCCCTAGTTAAAATAAGAGTTAATGATAATAAATAATAATTCACTACGATCTCGCTGGTGATTTTGAATTTCTCAGTGACAAGGTTTGTCGGCATTGAGACAGCACTATTTTAGGCTCATGCAGTTTGTTCACTGGCAATTGTTTGACCGAATCCACGTTTACTGCGATGAAAAATATGTTGTTATCACGTGACCGAATTTGCATTTTTCCGGACAACTTTCGCACTCCGCTATATTTCAAAGTGTATACACGTGCGCGATATAAACAAACGAAAATATCGCAAAATAAGAACGATTTGAAAGTTTTTTTGTATTTGTGGGTATATTTTAACTCCTGTAAGTGTAATATGTAGCGAAGAGAAAAATTTCCCGTTGTGTGGGTACGAAAATATAGGGATATATATCGCTCGACGGCCTCGATTATACTATAAGCGATTCACAAATTATGGTGAAGAGATGTGCTTGGGGAACATGCAAAAGCGATTCGAGGTATCCAGCACGCTTAAAAAGGACAATGAGACTGAGTGTATCTAAAAGTCGAGAGTCGAGAGTAAAGGTCGAGAGTCGAGAGTAAAAGTCGAGTGTCGAGAGTAAACGTCAAGAGTCGAGAGTAAAAGTCGAGAGTCGAGAGTAAAAAGTCGAGAGCCGATCGAGAGTTAAAAGTCGAGAGTCTGCAAATGTCATCAGAAACAACAAAGTCAAAAAACTTTTAACACAATATATAACCGATCCGTAATAACGGCTGATTATACCCGTGCGGGCGAGCGAGGGGGGAGGCAGTCCCGCCCCCCCCCCAGTCAAAATAAAGTCATGCAAATTATAAACGTATAAATTCGGGCAAAAATTGGGGGAAATAAATTTAAAAAGAAGACATATGTAAAAGTAACGAAGAATCGACAAATAGGAAAATATTTTTGTCTACTTCC